ACTGGTTTTCCCCTAGAAGTTTGTTCAAACTCTACAGATCTCAAAAGTAACATGAGAAATTGTGCCTCCAGGGCTGGCAAGCCCCAGGACAGTCTCGCATTAATACTAAAGTGGCCTAAATGAGGATCTTTTGATACTAGCAAATTAATCTTTTTGCGTGCACAATTAGAAAAAGCTGGCTACAAAATTAGGCTGAATGAAATGGAGAAACAAAGCTATTACTCTCTCAGAACTTAAAGACTTCTCCTCTAAGCCAAAATGAAACTATATAAAAGGATTTACAAAAAAAAGATAGAATCTAGATAAATGGATGAACCTACGATGTTGTTCAGGTGTCAACCTAATTCTCTGAGGTATTAAAAATGACAGTCCTTATTTTCAAAGAGGGAAGATAATTTGTAACTTGGACAAATGTAAATTGTAAATGCCTCCAAAACAAAATTTGGATCCAACTGTTCTCTGTCTGTATCAGTTTATATATGTATGTTGTAATATCGTTAAAATTAATTTAAAGGCAAAGGCTTGTAAGGATTGGGTATTCTAAAATTCTCAGAATATAGAAACTAACTTGTTTTTTAAGTTCACATGATCTAAGATTAATCCTCAGTAAATAAAAGCTAAAGTTTGTTGCTTTAAGTAAAATAGACTTGTCTTTATTTCATCTGGGTTTTACAAAAATAAGTACATGTTAATAACTGACATATCTATGAAATATATTTCTAGAGGTTAAATTAAAAAAAAAAAATAGTTGAGGCCATGGGAAACTCCAAATGGCCTCTTGGTTCTTCCCTGTTCCCTGGCTTCTCATTTTCCAGTTTTTGCATTCTTTCATGCATCATTAGTGCATTTAAGAGGGACTTAAATTAGATATAAATTACATAAAGGAACTTATGAACTGACACTATTGAAAGACATCTTACACCATTGCCAAGATTTGATAAAGTCAATTCAAGAAAATGCCAACTTTGTAACTGCTTCCTTTCACAGCAGACTTCCAGGACACAAACTTCAGATATTGTTTTTTGGAAAGAATATCAAATAAAAGACATTCTCCAACCTCGTTGGAAGAAACCTTATCAGATGCCTAACCACAAATGGACATCTACCTGACACTCACCTCCACCTACGATGGACATCAAAGACTCCAAGGATGAGAAGCTGTGGACATCAGAGGTAGAGAGCTAAACTAAGACATTGGCAAGGCCTGTATACCTATGTACTGATATTGAACGCAGAATCCATTTTGTTTGAATGTCTTTACCTGTTTGCTAAAGATATTAGTCATAAAAATAGTTACTCATTCTTTAGGTTTTTCTATATATAGTCCAACTGTTTATAACTCCTGAACATGTATAAGATAACTGTTAATACTCTTTTCATGTATTATGTAAATGCTATACAAGATGCCAAATACAGAAAAATGAGACAGAAGGCAAAACTCGGATCATGATAGTCCAAAGGATAAAAATGATCTGGAGTGTTTTTTCGAAATGAAGACCTGACTGTCTTTCATTAACCTGCCCTTCCTTTTTGGAACACTCAGCCTGAACTCGCATCCCATAGTTACTGTATTGCCCCATCCCCAAAGGTCAACAAGATGACATCGATATCGAGACTTCCTAGGAATGAGCCTTCCTAGTACTGTGAGACCACACTATTGGACCAAAAGGTTTGTCATCAATGCATCCTTCAGATTGATTTACGACCAAAAGAAGGAACTGTGAATGAAAAGAGACCTCTATGGAAAGTAACTCACAGGGCGATGTGATTATAAATTTCTAACTGGGCAGGTCCTGGTGAGTAGCACTTCCCAAACATATAATTTCTTTAGCAAAAGGTTATCTTTGCATTAAGCAAGCCCTGTCCATTGTTTCCATGCATCCAGGTTAACACACCCTTGAAATGCCTTTCAGAATCCTCCTTCTAAAGACCACCCTCAAGAGCACATAATCTTGTTAACTATCCTATAATCAGATCCCCACCTTGCTCGTTTCCACCTTCATGTAATCTTCTGTAAGTTTCCTTCTCAATTTCAGATGTATAAAAGAATCCATAAAACTGTTATTCTTGGGAGCATTTTAGATCTTGCTCCCCAGTATATGTCGTCAGTTTGGATCAAATAAACATGAACATTCTCTACAGGTTTGGCTGTTTCGTAAATCGAAGCCTTCCAAAACCAACTCTTGTGACTCTCTCTAGGCCAAAGGCCCCTTCCTGTGAGGACTTTACTCTGTGGCCTCCACTAAAGCTTCATACTGTTTTGTTTATCTGACTCCCTAGAGCAGTTTGGGGTTATAGGCTATCCTCCTCCTCCTCTTTGGGGCCTCAACTGCCAGCTCAGTGCTTGGCACATGGAAGGCACCCTCTTCCATGAAGTAAATGTGTGTGGGGTAAAAGTCTAAGTTTGAAATCACCCTAAGCTGTGTAGAGCTATACCACTTTCACGTTCTCATAATACCATCTGGTGTTGGTACCATTAAAAACTAATAGTGTCACGTTCATTCAGGACCTTGGGTTGAGGTCACAAGATGGAGAGTGATCCAGGACATCACTTGTAAAATCCTTGATCTTTTAACAGGAAAAAAGGGACATCTCTTGCAGAATTCTTAATCTTTTTAGTAAACCTAGTTAAGTTTTCTCCCTCCTTTCTTTAAGAAAAAGGCCCTCTTTCTCGAATCCTGATAATTGCCCCCAAACTGGTGACTCAGATCCCCTGGCTCTTGATAAGTGTCATTGGTCCATTTGTTAGCAGAAATGGTGTTAGGCCAAACAGGGTCCTTAGAATCTGAGAGGAAAGGAGACTTTAGAACAAAGGTCTTTTTTAAGCCCTTTAAGAAATATATTAACCAAGCCTGTTTCCTTTTACTCACTTAATAGGCAAATCAATAATAGAAATTAATAGATATGATTTAAATAACAAGTTTGTATCTTCTTTTCCTTGTCTAGGGACTGAGGTGGCACTTCAGCCGGAAACCCAAGACTCCACCCTCAGGCAGAAAAGGAAAGAGCTCCATGAAACAGCAATGGGCAGG